TAGGGAAAAGACCACTAATTATTTTCCCATAGAACTCCATACAAACCTTAGGCCCTCTCAGTACTTTACTATGACAATTTCAGAAAAATCTTTAGCATCATTTCAAACTTTGTTCTAAGCCCTAACAAAAAATACTGAAAAAAATATATGGTCCCATGGCGTTTATAGGTCAAAATTGCAGTTATTTTCAACTTATAGAGATTCGCAGTAAATAACATGCGGCATAAAAAATCAATCCCCACTCCTAAAATCTTCCCTGGTATTTCTATAGTTTCTGTAATATTCCCTCATCCCATCATTTATTTCAAAGGTCATTAATTTTACTTTAAAATGAAAACAATTAAATACCTGATTTCAGCCAATGGCGTAACGCCTACCCATTCAGTATTCTGTTTAATGTTCCATAACAAACAAACAAAGCCATGTGTGCATCCGGGGATTTGGTGCTCTCATTCCTATACTTACATACTTACCTGTCCCAGAATTAGTCAATTGTGGTAATTTCAAAGACTATACACCTACCTGTGAACATGTATGAAATTTGAGTCCTGTGACTTCAGTGTATTGGATACTGTGACCATCTCAAATGATGACACCTTACTGCTACCAGCACAGCTCAAAGGAGTGAATGACATCTGGGCCGGTGATGATATTTGGATATATTGGTGACTGTAATAAATAAAATATTTGTACAATGAATTGTTTTTGTGTTTTAATGTTAATAAAGTGATATTAAGTCAAAATTGAGTCAATAATTTCATAAGGGTGGATTCTACCCAGAATTAGGTAAAAAGCTCCAAAATTGGATAAATCATAGTTAATTAAGCAAAATTCAAAGGTTTTAAAAAGACTGATATAGAATTTTTTTTATGCTTATGCAAAGTAAATTATTTAAGACTCTGATATACTAATTGATTCTTATCTAATCCCTCCTATTGCTTAAGTATGTACAAAAAAGTTTCCCCACCCCCCAGTGAAAAACACTTAAAGAAATAGCAGGTGCCCCCTTTTATTTTTGTTTACAATTAATTTAGACAAGTTTAAATCAATCCTTTTGATAACAAATCAAAGTTCAATATCTGTAGTCTTATACATTACAATCAGAAGCTACTTTTTGAATTTTATGCTAAGAAAAGGAGAATTTAAATAATTTTTTTTAAAAATTAAAGAAAAGCAAAAATTTTGACTTCAACCCCAAAATGTACTATACAAATAAGAGGCTGGAAAGTTAATAAATAAAAAATTTACCTGTTATGTACAGAAAACTGTCCGACAAAATATATCGGGTGGGTAGCGAGTCTCCTTTTCTTCTTATATAGAGAAAATGCCCCTGCTGATCAGAGACCCAACTCTCCTGGGGCCGAGGAAGCTGAAAGATGAAAAACCTCTACAGTGCAAAAAACAACATAAATCAGAAAAATTAGTCAAATTACATCTTAAATCATTTAATGAAACAACAATATTTTTCAAGTTTTCTAAAAATTTCCTTAATTACATGTCTTCTACATAGCTAAATGTTTTGAAAAATGTACCCCCAAAGGGTGGGGGTAATACATGTTTTTTCAATATTACATAATATTACTTGTAAATATAATAAAGGTCAAATGTCATTCATGCAGTTAAAGGTCATTACAATAATTTATGAAAAAAAATCAGAAGCCAAAGGTTCTCTACAACTGTTAAGATTTTATCATGTTGAAATTCATACCTGGTTTGTAAGTGTAAGGGAAGTAACTCCAATTACAAAAACTGGAAAGCAGTAAAAAATGAGTTGCCGAGGGCTACGCTGATGAAAAAACAAGCAGCAAGAAAGGAAAAATACAGACATAAGTGTAGCTACACCAAAGAAACAACTTCACTACAAATTCAGTACCCTGCAGTCCAAGTAAGGGGGGCCCCCTATTATATTTGTTTACAACAAATTTAAATGAGGCAATTCAGAGAACGCACGCACTACCAGCCATATGATGTCAAGAGAGAAAAGTGTGCAACTTTGACATGACCACTATAGAATGCCCTTTTTAGGTTCACCAGAACTATTTGAAAAGATACCGTATGCAACCGTTAAAGAAATGAAATAAAATGAACACCAGGTCACAGCCCCTACAATGCCATACATGTACATATATATAGAACACAACACATAAATACACACATGTAAATACATATAAAATTAATGTACATGCATATATTTATACAAACTTACTTACACATAAATATTCATCATAAGAGCAATCTGATGCACTTTATTAACTTACTCCCCTCCTCGGATAATATCAAATGCACCACGCTATAATAATATCTACATTCTACTCACTACCCCCCCCCCCCCCTCACCGAGAACAAAATTCCTCAAAAATCTCAACACATGAAAAGCAATTCCATTTTTTTTTGCTATTTACCTCTCAGTGTGTCATCAATATTCGGATTATGAGCAAAAAATCACTTTTCATGACTTTAAATTCACTTAAAATTTTAAAAATTTGGGTCTCTATAGGGAAAAGAGTTCCAATTATTTTCCCATAGAACTCTATACAAACATTTTGTCCTCTCACTTCTATACTAATTTAATTTCAGATAATTCCTTGGTATCGTTTGAAACTTTAATCCAAGCGCTTATAAAAAATCCCGGAAAAAATATAGGGTCCCATGGCGTTTATAGGTCAAAATTGCAGTTCTTTAAAACTTATAGGTTTCGGCAGTAAATAACGCTCTGCCAAAAAAATCAACCCCCACTCCTACAATCTCCCCTGGTATTTCTATATTCTCTGTCATATTCCTACATTCCATCATTTATTTTGAATATTAATATTTTTACTTTAAAATGAAAAACATTACATACCTCATTTCAGCCAATCAGGTAATGCCGACCTATTCAGTACTCGACTCTACATTCTGCCACAAACAATGCCATGTGCTCATCCGGGGATTTGGTACTCTCATTCCTATACTTACATATTTACCTCTCCCAGAATTAGTCAATTTTGTAATTTTCAAAAACTTTATACTTACCAATGAATATGTATAAAATTTTAGGCCTGTCACTTCAGTGTCTTGGAAGCTGTGACAATCTTAATGAATGACACCCTCCTCCATTAAGTAGAATTCCAGGGAGTGAGAAACTGCCATTCCTTTGATGTGACCTGGATACAGTTGTGACTGTAATGAATAAAACATTTATAAATTGCATGATTTTGTTTTTTATTGTCAATAAAATGATATAAAGTCACATTTGTGTCATTTTTTTCATAAGGGTGGATTCTACCCAGAATTTAAAAAAGGCTCCAAAATTTGATAAAATATAGCTGATTAAGCAAAATTGAAAGGCTTTAAAAAGACTAATTCAGAATTTCTTTTATGCTTATGAAAAGTAAATTATCTGAGAATCTGGTATACTAACTGATTCTTATCTAACCCCTCATGTTGCTTAAGTATTTGCAAAAAAGTATCACCACCCCCCCAGTGAAAGACACTTAGAGAAATAGCAGGTGCCCCCTATTATATTTGTTTACAACAAATTTAAATGAGAGAAAATTAATCCTTTTGATAATAAATGAAAGTTCAGTATTTACAGTCTTATACAGTACAATATTAATCCTCAGGATGGAGTTTTATGCATAGAAAAGGGGAATTTAGATCAATTTTTCAAAAATAAGAAATGCAATAATTTTGACTATAAACCCCAAAATGCACAAAATAATAAGTGGCTGGAAAGTTAAAAAGTGGAAAATTTACCTGTTATGTACAGAAAACTGTCCGACAAAATATATCGGGTGGGTAGCGAGTCTCCTTCTTCTTCTTGTATAGAGAAAATGCCCCCGCTGAGCAGGTACCCAACTCTCCTGGGGCCGAGGAAGCTGAAAGATGAAAAACCTCTACAGTGCAAAAAACAACATAAATCAGAAAAATTAGTCAAATCACATCTTAAGCATTTATTTAACAGCAATATTTTTCAGGTTTTCTAGAAAATAAAAAAAATCCACACCTTCTACATTGTTTATTGTTTTAAAAATGTACCCCCAAAGGGTGGGGGTACATGTTACACTATATTACATGTAATTACATGTAAATACAAAAAGGCCTAATCTTATACATGCATTTTTAAGTCATTCCAATAATTCCTGGAAAAAATCAGAAGTCTAGGTTCTCTACAATAAAGATTTTATGAAGTTGAAATTCTACATGCCTGGTTTGTAAGTCTAAGGGAAGTAACTCCAATTACAAAAACTGGAAAGCAGTAAAAAATGAGTTGCCGAGGGCTACGCTGATGAAAAAACAAGCAGCAAGAAAGGAAAAATACAGACCTAAGTGTAGCTACACCAAAGAAACAACTTCACTACAAATTCAGTACCCTGCAGTCCAAGTAAAGCAATCCAGAGAATCACACGCACTACCAGCCATATGATGTCAAGAGAGAAAAGTGTGCAACTTTGACATGACCACTATAGAATGCCCTTTTTAGGTTCACCAGAACTATTTGAAAAGATACCGTATGCAACCGTTAAAGAAATGAAATGAAATGAACACCAGGTCACAGCCCCTACAATGCCATACATGTACATATATATAGAACACAACACATAAATACACACATGTAAATACATATAAAATTAATGTACATGCATATATTTATACAAACTTACTTACACATAAATTTTCATCATAAGAGCAATCTGATGCACTTTATTAACTTACTCCCCTCCTCGGATAATATCAAATGCACCACGCTATAATAATATCTACATTCTACTCACTACCCCCCACCCCCTTCACCGAGAACAAAATTCCTCAAAAATCTCAACACATGAAAAGCAATTCCATTTTTTTTTGCTATTTACCTCTCAGTGTGTCATCAATATTCGGATTATGAGCAAAAAATCACTTTTCATGACTTTAAATTCACTTAACATTTTAAAAATTTGTGTCTCTATACTTACATATTTACCTCTCCCAGAATTAGTCAATTTTGTAATTTTCAAAAACTTTATACTTACCAATGAATATGTATAAAATTTTAGGCCTGTCACTTCAGTGTCTTGGAAGCTGTGACAATCTTAATGAATGACACCCTCCTCCATTAAGTAGAATTCCAGGGAGTGAGAAACTGCCATTCCTTTGATGTGACCTGGATACAGTTGTGACTGTAATGAATAAAACATTTATAAATTGCATGATTTTGTTTTTTATTGTCAATAAAATGATATAAAGTCACATTTGTGTCATTTTTTTCATAAGGGTGGATTCTACCCAGAATTTAAAAAAGGCTCCAAAATTTGATAAAATATAGCTGATTAAGCAAAATTGAAAGGCTTTAAAAAGACTAATTCAGAATTTCTTTTATGCTTATGAAAAGTAAATTATCTGAGAATCTGGTATACTAACTGATTCTTATCTAACCCCTCATGTTGCTTAAGTATTTGCAAAAAAGTATCACCACCCCCCAGTGAAAGACACTTAGAGAAATAGCAGGTGCCCCCTATTATATTTGTTTACAATAAATTTAAATGAGAGAAAATTAATCCTTTTGATAATAAATGAAAGTTCAGTATTTACAGTCTTATACAGTACAATATTAATCTTCAGGATGGAGTTTTATGCATAGAAAAGGGGAATTTAGATCAATTTTTCAAAAATAAGAAATGCAATAATTTTGACTTTAAACCCCAAAATGCACAAAATAATAAGAGGCTGGAAAGTTTAGAAGTGGAAAATTTACCTGTTATGTACAGAAAACTGTCCGACAAAATATATCGGGTGGGTAGCGAGTCTCCTTCTTCTTCTTGTATAGAGAAAATGCCCCCGCTGAGCAGGTACCCAACTCTCCTGGGGCCGAGGAAGCTGAAAGATGAAAAACCTCTACAGTGCAAAAAACAACATAAATCAGAAAAATTAGTCAAATCACATCTTAAGCATTTATTTAACAGCAATATTTTTCAGGTTTTCTAGAAAATAAAAAAAATCCACACCTTCTACATTGTTTATTGTTTTAAAAATGTACCCCCAAAGGGTGGGGTACATGTTACACAATATTACATGTAATTACATGTAAATACAAAAAGGCCTAATCTTATACATGCATTTTTAAGTCATTCCAATAATTCCTGGAAAAAATCAGAAGTCTAGGTTCTCTACAATAAAGATTTTATGATGTTGAAATTCTACATGCCTGGTTTGTAAGTCTAAGGGAAGTAACTCCAATTACAAAAACTGGAAAGCAGTAAAAAATGAGTTGCCGAGGGCTACGCTGATGAAAAAACAAGCAGCAAGAAAGGAAAAATACAGACCTAAGTGTAGCTACACCAAAGAAACAACTTCACTACAAATTCAGTACCCTGCAGTCCAAGTAAAGCAATCCAGAGAATCGCACGCACTACCAGCCATATGATGTCAAGAGAGAAAAGTGTGCAACTTTGACATGACCACTATAGAATGCCCTTTTTAGGTTCACCAGAACTATTTGAAAAGATACCGTATGCAACCGTTAAAGAAATGAAATGAAATGAACACCAGGTCACAGCCCCTACAATGCCATACATGTACATATATATAGAACACAACACATAAATACACACATGTAAATACATATAAAATTAATGTACATGCATATATTTATACAAACTTACTTACACATAAATATTCATCATAAGAGCAATCTGATGCACTTTATTAACTTACTCCCCTCCTCGGATAATATCAAATGCACCACGCTATATTAATATCTACATTCTACTCACTACCCCCCCCCCCCCCCCCCCCCCCCCGTCACCGAGAACAAAATTCCTCAAAAATCTCAACACATGAAAAGCAATTCCATTTTTTTTTGCTATTTACCTCTCAGTGTGTCATCAATATTCGGATTATGAGCAAAAAATCACTTTTCATGACTTTAAATTCACTTAAAATTTTAAAAATTTGGGTCTCTATAGGGAAAAGAGTACCAATTATTTTCCCATAGAACTCTATACAAACATTTTGTCCTCTCACTTCTATACTAATTTAATTTCAGATAATTCCTTGGTATCGTTTGAAACTTTAATCCAAGCGCTTATAAAAAATCCCGGAAAAAATATAGGGTCCCATGGCGTTTATAGGTCAAAATTGCAGTTCTTTAAAACTTATAGGTTTCGGCAGTAAATAACGCTCTGCCAAAAAAATCAACCCCCACTCCTACAATCTCCCCTGGTATTTCTATATTCTCTGTCATATTCCTACATTCCATCATTTATTTCAAATATTAATATTTTTACTTTAAAATGAAAAACATTACATACCTCATTTCAGCCAATCAGGTAATGCAGACCTATTCAGTACTCGACTCTACATTCTGCCACAAACAATGCCATGTGCTCATCCGGGGATTTGGTACTCTCATTCCTATACTTACATATTTACCTCTCCCAGAATTAGTCAATTTTGTAATTTTCAAAAACTTTATACTTACCAATGAATATGTATAAAATTTTAGGCCTGTCACTTCAGTGTCTTGGAAGCTGTGACAATCTTAATGAATGACACCCTCCTCCATTAAGTAGAATTCCAGGGAGTGAGAAACTGTCATTCCTTTGATGTGACCTGGATACAGTTGTGACTGTAATGAATAAAACATTTATAAATTGCATGATTTTGTTTTTTATTGTCAATAAAATGATATAAAGTCACATTTGTGTCATTTTTTTCATAAGGGTGGATTCTACCCAGAATTTAAAAAAGGCTCCAAAATTTGATAAAATATAGCTGATTAAGCAAAATTGAAAGGCTTTAAAAAGACTAATTCAGAATTTCTTTTATGCTTATGAAAAGTAAATTATCTGAGAATCTGGTATACTAACTGATTCTTATCTAACCCCTCATGTTGCTTAAGTATTTGCAAAAAAGTATCACCACCCCCCAGTGAAAGACACTTAGAGAAATAGCAGGTGCCCCCTATTATATTTGTTTACAATAAATTTAAATGAGAGAAAATTAATCCTTTTGATAATAAATGAAAGTTCAGTATTTACAGTCTTATACAGTACAATCTTAATCTTCAGGATGGAGTTTTATGCATAGAAAAGGGGAATTTAGATCAATTTTTCAAAAATAAGAAATGCAATAATTTTGACTTTAAACCCCAAAATGCACAAAATAATAAGAGGCTGGAAAGTTTAGAAGTGGAAAATTTACCTGTTATGTACAGAAAACTGTCCGACAAAATATATCGGGTGGGTAGCGAGTCTCCTTCTTCTTCTTGTATAGAGAAAATGCCCCCGCTGAGCAGGTACCCAACTCTCCTGGGGCCGAGGAAGCTGAAAGATGAAAAACCTCTACAGTGCAAAAAACAACATAAATCAGAAAAATTAGTCAAATCACATCTTAAGCATTTATTTAACAGCAATATTTTTCAGGTTTTCTAGAAAATAAAAAAAATCCACACCTTCTACATTGTTTATTGTTTTAAAAATGTACCCCCAAAGGGTGGGGTACATGTTACACAATATTACATGTAATTACATGTAAATACAAAAAGGCCTAATCTTATACATGCATTTTTAAGTCATTCCAATAATTCCTGGAAAAAATCAGAAGTCTAGGTTCTCTACAATAAAGATTTTATGATGTTGAAATTCTACATGCCTGGTTTGTAAGTCTAAGGGAAGTAACTCCAATTACAAAAACTGGAAAGCAGTAAAAAATGAGTTGCCGAGGGCTACGCTGATGAAAAAACAAGCAGCAAGAAAGGAAAAATACAGACCTAAGTGTAGCTACACCAAAGAAACAACTTCACTACAAATTCAGTACCCTGCAGTCCAAGTAAAGCAATCCAGAGAATCGCACGCACTACCAGCCATAAGATGTCAAGAGAGAAAAGTGTGCAACTTTGACATGACCACTATAGAATGCCCTTTTTAGGTTCACCAGAACTATTTGAAAAGATACCGTATGCAACCGTTAAAGAAATGAAATGAAATGAACACCAGGTCACAGCCCCTACAATGCCATACATGTACATATATATAGAACACAACACATAAATACACACATGTAAATACATATAAAATTAATGTACATGCATATATTTATACAAACTTACTTACACATAAATATTCATCATAAGAGCAATCTGATGCACTTTATTAACTTACTCCCCTCCTCGGATAATATCAAATGCACCACGCTATATTAATATCTACATTCTACTCACTACCCCCCCCCCCTCACCGAGAACAAAATTCCTCAAAAATCTCAACACATGAAAAACAATTCCATTTTTTTTGCTATTTACCTCTCAGTGTGTCATCAATATTCGGATTATGAGCAAAAAATCACTTTTCATGACTTTAAATTCACTTAAAATTTTAAAAATTTGGGTCTCTATAGGGAAAAGAGTACCAATTATTTTCCCATAGAACTCTATACAAACATTTTGTCCTCTCACTTCTATACTAATTTAATTTCAGATAATTCCTTGGTATCGTTTGAAACTTTAATCCAAGCGCTTATAAAAAATCCCGGAAAAAATATAGGGTCCCATGGCGTTTATAGGTCAAAATTGCAGTTCTTTAAAACTTATAGGTTTCGGCAGTAAATAACGCTCTGCCAAAAAAATCAACCCCCACTCCTACAATCTCCCCTGGTATTTCTATATTCTCTGTCATATTCCTACATTCCATCATTTATTTTGAATATTAATATTTTTACTTTAAAATGAAAAACATTACATACCTCATTTCAGCCAATCAGGTAATGCCGACCTATTCAGTACTCGACTCTACATTCTGCCACAAACAATGCCATGTGCTCATCCGGGGATTTGGTACTCTCATTCCTATACTTACATATTTACCTCTCCCAGAATTAGTCAATTTTGTAATTTTCAAAAACTTTATACTTACCAATGAATATGTATAAAATTTTAGGCCTGTCACTTCAGTGTCTTGGAAGCTGTGACAATCTTAATGAATGACACCCTCCTCCATTAAGTAGAATTCCAGGGAGTGAGAAACTGCCATTCCTTTGATGTGACCTGGATACAGTTGTGACTGTAATGAATAAAACATTTATAAATTGCATGATTTTGTTTTTTATTGTCAATAAAATGATATAAAGTCACATTTGTGTCATTTTTTTCATAAGGGTGGATTCTACCCAGAATTTAAAAAAGGCTCCAAAATTTGATAAAATATAGCTGATTAAGCAAAATTGAAAGGCTTTAAAAAGACTAATTCAGAATTTCTTTTATGCTTATGAAAAGTAAATTATCTGAGAATCTGGTATACTAACTGATTCTTATCTAACCCCTCATGTTGCTTAAGTATTTGCAAAAAAGTATCACCACCCCCCCAGTGAAAGACACTTAGAGAAATAGCAGGTGCCCCCTATTATATTTGTTTACAACAAATTTAAATGAGAGAAAATTAATCCTTTTGATAATAAATGAAAGTTCAGTATTTACAGTCTTATACAGTACAATATTAATCCTCAGGATGGAGTTTTATGCATAGAAAAGGGGAATTTAGATCAATTTTTCAAAAATAAGAAATGCAATAATTTTGACTATAAACCCCAAAATGCACAAAATAATAAGTGGCTGGAAAGTTAAAAAGTGGAAAATTTACCTGTTATGTACAGAAAACTGTCCGACAAAATATATCGGGTGGGTAGCGAGTCTCCTTCTTCTTCTTGTATAGAGAAAATGCCCCCGCTGAGCAGGTACCCAACTCTCCTGGGGCCGAGGAAGCTGAAAGATGAAAAACCTCTACAGTGCAAAAAACAACATAAATCAGAAAAATTAGTCAAATCACATCTTAAGCATTTATTTAACAGCAATATTTTTCAGGTTTTCTAGAAAATAAAAAAAATCCACACCTTCTACATTGTTTATTGTTTTAAAAATGTACCCCCAAAGGGTGGGGGTACATGTTACACTATATTACATGTAATTACATGTAAATACAAAAAGGCCTAATCTTATACATGCATTTTTAAGTCATTCCAATAATTCCTGGAAAAAATCAGAAGTCTAGGTTCTCTACAATAAAGATTTTATGAAGTTGAAATTCTACATGCCTGGTTTGTAAGTCTAAGGGAAGTAACTCCAATTACAAAAACTGGAAAGCAGTAAAAAATGAGTTGCCGAGGGCTACGCTGATGAAAAAACAAGCAGCAAGAAAGGAAAAATACAGACCTAAGTGTAGCTACACCAAAGAAACAACTTCACTACAAATTCAGTACCCTGCAGTCCAAGTAAAGCAATTCAGAGAATCGCACGCACTACCAGCCATATGATGTCAAGAGAGAAAAGTGTGCAACTTTGACATGACCACTATAGAATGCCCTTTTTAGGTTCACCAGAACTATTTGAAAAGATACCGTATGCAACCGTTAAAGAAATGAAATGAAATGAACACCAGGTCACAGCCCCTACAATGCCATACATGTACATACGAGGGCCGTTCAAAAATTACGCGGACTGTGGTATTATTTAGTCTTTCAGACGTCATATAGTTATGAAATTTCACAGAAATATGTATCTTAAAGATTCCAATAAATTTTGGCTAAAATTTCTGTATATTAAAAAAATTCTACTAAAATTATCGGTATGTTGATATCGCTGATGGAGAGGTACGGAGCACGACAAAAAAATTGAAGCAAAAGCATGCGGAATCCAAAATTTAACTCATTAATTTTCTATAATTTGCGATATTTTTCGACAATTTTCTCAAATGTATCTTTAAATTGTATTATAATTATGCATTTAGATTTCTGGCGTGATATTTAATATAGTGATTTTTCTCTGAGGCGATTCCCGTGAAAACGACTGTGAAAATGACGTCTCCTGAATTGACGGCGCACCACACTTCTGTTAAATTATATGTCATGCTCGAGATATCGCCAACATAGATCCAAAATATGCATAATAAAACATGTAGTAAACTAGGGTATTCGTGACATTCGTCCACAAAAGGCAAATTGAAATTTTAGACCGTTAGACCTCTGTAAAAAAAGGCTATACGGGAGGACGAGAAGATTATCGACGAAAACTTTATCAGCAGGACTGTAAAGAACGTTATCGAGAGTCACCAATTCATGTATCACACTATATCTCATAAATACCTGCATTTTTTGGTTTTAAAACAAAATAAAGAATATTCTTTACTTGTTTAATAGATTTTAAGCTTGACAAGAAATGGTGTTTGGATGTTGGGTAGATAAAGTAACTCAAACTGTACAGGTACTCTTGGGGAAATGTTGAAAAAATGAAAGCTCAATAACATATTTTTATAATGCCTGTGACGTCGAAGATTTTGCTGCTCCGTGACTTAATATGTCCTGAAAATTATTCAAAATTGATACCAATTTACAACATTTTGATTATGAAATTTTGAAGACCATATAAGTAAATATTCTTTTATATTATGTGTTACATTTTGCCCGATTATGTCGTCAAATATTTTTTCTGTGCAACAAGTCCGCGTAATTTTTGAACGGCCCTCGTATATATAGAACACAACACATAAATACACACATGTAAATACATATAAAATTAATGTACATGCATATATTTATACAAACTTACTTACACATAAATATTCATCATAAGAGCAATCTGATGCACTTTATTAACTTACTCCCCTCCTCGGATAATATCAAATGCACCACGCTATATTAATATCTACATTCTACTCACTACCCCCCCCCCCCTCACCGAGAACAAAATTCCTCAAAAATCTCAACACATGAAAAGCAATTCCATTTTTTTTTGCTATTTACCTCTCAGTGTGTCATCAATATTCGGATTATGAGCAAAAAATCACTTTTCATGACTTTAAATTCACTTAAAATTTTAAAAATTTGGGTCTCTATAGGGAAAAGAGTACCAATTATTTTCCCATAGAACTCTATACAAACATTTTGTCCTCTCACTTCTATACTAATTTAATTTCAGATAATTCCTTGGTATCGTTTGAAACTTTAATCCAAGCGCTTATAAAAAATCCCGGAAAAAATATAGGGTCCCATGGCGTTTATAGGTCAAAATTGCAGTTCTTTAAAACTTATAGGTTTCGGCAGTAAATAACGCTCTGCCAAAAAAATCAACCCCCACTCCTACAATCTCCCCTGGTATTTCTATATTCTCTGTCATATTCCTACATTCCATCATTTATTTTGAATATTAATATTTTTACTTTAAAATGAAAAACATTACATACCTCATTTCAGCCAATCAGGTAATGCCGACCTATTCAGTACTCGACTCTACATTCTGCCACAAACAATGCCATGTGCTCATCCGGGGATTTGGTACTCTCATTCTTTAAG